TCTGGGCTCAGAAACACACTGTCCCTGGCCTTTCCCCTGTCTTTGGGTGTCAGAAACACGTTCTCCTCCCAGCTGTACTAGGGTGCCGGGAAACACAAGCTCTTTTTGCCCTGCTCGCTGACCTCTGGGCTCAGAAACACACTGTCCCTGGCCTTTCCCCTGTCTTTGGGTGTCAGAAACACGTTCTCCTCCCAGATGTACTCGTCTCCCGGGAAACATAAGCTCTTTTTACCCTGCTCGCTGACCTCTGGGCTCAGAAACACACTGTCCCTGGCCTTTCCCCTTGTCTTTGGGTGTCAGAAACACGTTCTCCTACCAGCTGTACTCGGGTGCCAGGAAACACAAGCTCTTTTTTTGTCCTGCTCGCTGACCTCTGGGCTCAGAAACACACTGTCCCTGGCATTTCCCCCTGTCTTTGGGTGTCAGAAACACGTTCTCCTCCCAGCTGTACTAGGGTGCCGGGAAACACAAGCTCTTTTTGCCCTGCTCGCTGACCTCTGGGCTCAGAAACACACTGTCCCTGGCCTTTCCCCCTGTCTTTGGGTGTCAGAAACACGTTCTCCTCCCAGCTGTACTAGGGTGCCGGGAAACACAAGCTCTTTTTTGCCCTGCTCGCTGACCTCTGGGCTCAGAAACACACTGTCCCTGGCCTTTCCCCCTGTCTTTGGGTGTCAGAAACATGTTCTCCTCCCAGCTGTACTTGGGTGCCAGGAAACACAAGCTCTTTTTTGTCCTGCTCGCTGCCCTCTGGTCTCAGAAACACACTGTCCCTGGCCTTTCCCCCTGTCTTTGTGTGTCAGAAACATGTTCTCCTCCCAGCTGTAGTCGGGTGCCAGGAAACACAAGCTGTTTTTTGCCCTGCTCGCTGACCTCTGGGGACAGGAGGGCCGACGGCGAGATCTACCTGTCGAAGAACGGCAAGATCGCGTGGTCCTCGGTGCCCTGTCGCGCGCGGCAAGGGTCGCCGCCCCGGGGACGTCACGAGGCGGTTGCGGGACCGACGGCGCAGGCGGCGGCGGGAGCGTGCGACATCGCCTCGGCGTTCAGCCTGTTCATCACGCCGCGCGTGGAGGCGATCGTCCTGGAGGCCACGAACCGCGAGGGCTCTCGTCGACACGGAGACGCCTGGCGCGGGATGGACGCGGTCGACCTGCGTGCCTACGCGGGCCAGCTGATCCTGGCCGGTGTGTACAGGTCCCGGGGCGAGGCCGCGGCGAGCCTCTGGGACGCCGAGAGCGGACGGCCGATTTTCCGCGCGACCATGACGCTCAAGGTGTTCTACGCGTACTCGAGCCTGCTGCGCTTCAACGACCGCGAGACGCGGCCCGCGAGGCGCGCAGTCGACAAACTGGCCGCCGTGCGAGAGCTCTGGGACGAGTGGTCGGCGCGCCTGCCGAGCCTCTACAACCCCGGGCCCGACGTGACGGTGGACGAGCAGCTGGTCCCGTTCAGAGGTAGTGGCTGCGTGTTTGTGCGTGTGTGTCTGTGTGTGTGTGTGTGTGTGTATGTCTGTGTGTTACTCAACCTTGTGCTCCGTCTTCCCCAGGTCGCTGTCCGTTTCGCCAGTACATGCCGAGCAAGCCGGCGAGGTACGGGATCAAGGCGTGGGTGTGCTGCGACGCGCGGTCCAGCTACGCCTGGAAGATGCAGGTGTACACAGGGAAGCCGCGCGACGGCCCGGAGAGAAACCTGGGCGCGCGGGTCGTGTTCGACCTGACGGAGGGACTGCCCCGGGACCACACGGTCACCTGTGACAATTTCTTCACGTCCTACGAACTCGCGCAGCGGCTCCTCGCGGACAGGGGTCTCGCCCTGGTTGGCACGGTGCACAAGAACAAGCCCGAGCTGCCGCCCGCGCTGCTCGCGACCAAGACCCGACGGGTCCTGTCGTCGGCGTTCGCCTTCACGCCCATCGCCACGCTGGTGTCCTACTTGGCCCGGCGAAACAGGAACGTGCTGCTCCTGAGCACGCTGCACGCGGACGCCCGGCTCAGCGACCCTGCCACGCACGGAAGCGTCCGCGGCGGTCGTGAGGGCGCGCGCGAGGAGGCCCTATGCGGCACGCCGCCCGATGACGGGCTCGATCCGGACGCCCTGGGGCCGAGAGCGCCCGCTCCGGAAGCGCCCGCGCCGGACAACCGGGCCAGCAAGAGGAAGAGGTGTCAGATGTGCCCGTCCAAGAAGGACCGCAAGACGCACACGGTGTGCGGCCGGTGTAACAAGTACATCTGCAAAGACTGCTCGCGAGCCTACTGTACCGCGTGCGCCAACTGGGGCTTCGTCCGAGGCGGGACGATTTGACAGACGATGGGTGCATTGTTGTTGTTGGCTGTGTGTGTGTGTGTGTGTGTGTGTGTCTGAAACGCTTATGTCGCCATTGCTTGAAATGTACCGTATGTCCCGAAACGGACACGGAATTAATAATGAAAAAAATACTAATAACAATAATAATAAATCGATTACAGTGGAACGCATGCACGTTGTTGTATTTTGGGCTCCTCTTTTTTGCAAAACTCCCAGGGCTGTGTGAAATGGGATCGCGGGTCACTCTGACCTGCTCGACTCGGGCTGTGTACGCGACGCGAGGACAACGGCTGGGGTTAGATGCCGGGGTTGTGAGTTCGAGCCTCGCCCGGTGCGGTGTGTTTTTACACCCTCGCGAGTAAATACTAATAAAGGTAGTAAAAATAGATGGACAACGGTGAAACACGCGCCCGTCGTTGTATTTCGGCCTCCTCTTTTTTGCAAAACTCCCAGGGCTGTGTGAAATGGGATCGCGGGTCACTCGGACGCGCTCAATCCGGGGTGTGTACGCGACGCGAGGACAACAGCTGGGGTTAGATGCCGGGGTTGTGAGTTCGAGCCTCGCCCGGTGCAGTGGTTTTTTACACCCTCGCCGATAAATACTAATAAAGGTAGTAAGAATAGATGGACAACAGTGAAACACGCGCACGTTGTTGTATTTCGGCCTCCTCTTTTTTGCAAAACTCTTGAGGGCTGTGAAAAGAGATCGAGGGTCACTCTGACCCGCTCGACTCGGGCTGTGTACGCGACGCGAGGACAACGGCTGGGGTTAGATGCCGGGGTTGTGAGTTCGAGCCTCGCCCGGTGCGGTGGTTTTTTACACCTCGCGATAAATACTAAAAAGGTAGTAAAAATAGATGGACAACGGTGAAACACGCGCACATTGTTGTATTTCGGCCTCCTCTTTTTGCAAAACTCTTGAGGGCTGTGAAAAGAGATCGAGGGTCACTCTGACCTGCTCGACTCGGGCTGTGTACGCGACGCGAGGACAACGGCTGGGGTTAGATGCCGGGGTTGTGAGTTCGAGCCTCGCCCGGGCGGTGGTTTTTTACACCCACGCCGATAAATACTAATAAAGGTAGTAAAAATAGATGGACAACGGTGAAACACGCGCACGTTGTTGTATTTCGGCCTCCTCTTTTTGCAAAACTCCCAGGGCTGTGAAAGAGATCGAGGGTCACTCGGACCCGCTCAATCCGGGGTGTGTATGCGACGCGAGGACAACAGCTGTGGTTAGATGCCGGGGTTGTGAGTTCGAGCCTCGCCCGGTGCGGTGGTTTTTTACACCCTCGCAGATAAATACTAATAAAGGTAGTAAGAATAGATGGACAACGGTGAAACACGCGCACGTTGTTGTATTTCGGCCTCCTCTTTTTGCAAACTCTTGAGGGCTGTGAAAAGAGATACGAGGGTCACTCTGACCCGCTCGACTCGGGCTGTGTACGCGACGCGAGGACAACGGCGGGGTTAGATGCCGGGGTTGTGAGTTCGAGCCTCGCCCGTTGCGGTGGTTTTTACACCCACGCCGATAAATACTAATAAAGGTAGTAAAAATAGATGGACAACGGTGAAACACGCGCACGTTGTTGTATTTCGGCCTCCTCTTTTTGCAAAACTCCCAGGGCTGTGTGAAAGGGATCGCGGGTCACTCTGACCCGCTCAACTGGGGTGTGTACGCGACGCGAGGACAACGGCTGGGGTTAGATGCCGGGGTTGTGAGTTCGAGCCTCGCCCGTTGCGGTGGTTTTTTTCGAAAATATCTGAAGCAGACCATTGCGCATTCATGATCGAATTCACCGTGCTGGAGGCAGCTATCAGACGGGCCAGTGGCGCAATGGATAACGCGTCTGACTACGGATCAGAAGATTCTAGGTTCGACTCCTGGCTGGCTCGTGGAATACTTTAGCTCACCTCATGCATGCTGGTCGAACGTGGCATGCTGTGCCTATTTTAAATGGTTTGCCATCTACAAACGGCCTTGCGTAAAACTCACTGACCGACAACGTAACTCGTTCAACTTCTTATGCTTTTCACGGAAGAGATGTACTCGCAAAATTGCAGACGATAAAGATTTCCATGACGAGTACATTTCGTTTATTTTGACACCGTGTTGCCTGTATCTCTGGACGTCGATCATTGTTGGTCCCATATGGTCTAGTTAGGATTCCTGGTTTTCACCCAGGCGGCCAGGGTTCGACTCCCGGTATGGGAACTCACGTTTTTTGAAGGCGCGTTTAAAAAATGCCAACGTCTCATATTGATCAAGATCTGGTACCTGCATTATATCATTATGCAAACATATATATTTTTTTACATTTTAAGTTTGAAAGTGCTTCAGTCTTAGTTTGAAAGTTGTCGAATACACTGTAGCGTGGCAATGTATGCTGTAGCAGATCTCGTTCAGAAGCAGACACTACTGCTCGCAGACCTATGGTAACTTTTGTGTGATTTTGTAGGAGTAGAGTGTCCTACAATATGGTCTCATTTTAAAATGCACCAAACTACGCAGAGGCAACAAGGGTCAATTCAGGTATTGGTATTTTGTGGTAACTGCCGATGTAGCAAGCACCTAAAACAATTCTTGTCAGTGACTGAACCTAGTTGATATATGAATTTAGGAGTATTTTGAGTTCTTTGTAAAAATTGGTGGAATGAAGCCTTCCCTTGGAGCATTACCGACCCCCCGGTGCTGACTT